AGAAACCAAAAAGCGGTAGTGACTTCAGACCAATCAACATGTTACCGATATACGAAAAAGTACTGAACATCTAAAAAGTAAGAACATCTAGAAGCAAATAACATAATCACGAAACATCAGTCGGCATTTCGGAAGAAGCACTCGTGTGAAACGGCAATACAAACCGTGGTTGATGAATGGAAATCAAATATCAGTTAAGGGAAAGTAGTGGGAGTAATCTTCATGGATTTGAAACGAGCGTTTGAAACTGTGGACAGAGAGCTGTTATTGGAAAAACTAGTGCAATATGGAATAAAGGGAAAAGTATGGGAATGGTTTAGATCGTACTTAAGCAATAGGACTCAGCAAATTAGGTTTAATGGGGAATTTTCAAATATTATAGAAACAAAATACGGAGTACCACAGGGATCGGTGTTAGGGCCACTGCTGTTCGTTATATATATATAAATGATATAGTCGACCTGTGCCCAGAAAAAGGTACAATAAAAATGTTTGCAGATGATACTGTAATATATGTGACAGGAGAAAGCAGCGCAGAACTGGAAAGGAAAATGAATAAGCTATTAAATATAGTAGAAAAGTGGATGCATAGAAACAAATTAAAAATGAACGCAGATAAAACAAAATACATGATTGTTAAAAGTGTGAGAAAAGAAATGAAAGGAAATATTGTACTTCACTTAAGCAATAGGACTCAGCAAGTTAGGTTTAATGGGGAATTTTTAAATATTATAGAAACAAAATACGGAGTACCACAGGGATCGGTGTTAGGGCCACTGCTGTTCGTTATATATATATAAATGATATAGTCGACCTGTGCCCAGAAAAAGGTACAATAAAAATGTTTGCAGATGATACTGTAATATATGTGACAGGAGAAAGCAGCGCAGAACTGGAAAGGAAAATGAATAAGCTATTAAATATAGTAGAAAAGTGGATGCATAGAAACAAATTAAAAATGAACGCAGATAAAACAAAATACCTGATTGTTAAAAGTGTGAGAAAAGAAATGAAAGGAAATATTGTACTTAAGTGTCTGGACGGAACGGAACTAGAACGAGTGGAAACGATGAAATATTTAGGTATTATTATTGATGACAAGTTACAATTTAAAGACCATTGTAAATATATATTGAAAAAAATAGGTAAAAAAACGAGTTTCCTAAACAGAATGGGGCACTACGTATCGGCGTTTACCAGATGTATTATATATAAAATAATCATAGCACCACACTTCGAATAGTGTGGAACACTGCTAATGTGTATGGGTGAAACCGAAGTAAATAAACTGCAGATCGCGCAGAATAGAGCGATGCGGGTCATACTGCAATGCAGCCGCTACACAAAAGTGGATGATATGCTGACAGCGGTACAGTTTATGTCCATAAGGCAAAGACTTTATTATAATGTATGTGTATTCATCTTTAAAGCTGTCAATAATCTACTACCAAAGGATTTAAAGAATAGGCTACAAATAATAGGAATGAGGGGGGGTAGAGAAACACGACAAGCTGGAAATATAGTTATACAATTTAGGAGAACAAGAAACGCACAAAAGAGGAAGGAGTACAAATGTATAACGCATTACCAAATGAAGGTAAAAAGTGCGAGAGAATAGAACAATTTAAAAGAATGTTAATAGATTATGTTGTATCTTGTGTTAAGTAAATATTATGTACTCGATTAATGTAATTTATGTACAAAAATAGCCGAGAAGGCTAATAAAATATCTATCAATCAATCAATCAATCAATCAATCTCTATCTCTATCTGTATCTCTATCTCTATCTCTCTGTTTCTCTGTCTCTCTGTCTCTCTGTCTCTCTCTCCCCCCCCTCTCTCTCTCTCCCCCCCTCTCTCCCCCTCTCTCTCTCTCTCTCTCTCTCTCTCTCTCTCTCTCTCTCTCTCTCTCTCTTTCTCTCTTTCTCTCTGTCTCTCTTTCTTTTTTGCGAGTGACAGACGTGCTTGAGGATCGCTCCGCCTAATAGTTAATTATTGAGTCTGTGAAAATTGTGTGAAAGATGGGACAATGTGATCCGTGTTAAGTGGTGAACATTCTTATCTATCGAATGGCTAGATAGCTATCGGGTAAGCGATACAAGCAACATTTTTTCGTTCGTCAAAATTTTCACCTAGCGAGTGTACATGGGTGGCCATTATTACTGCCACGGAGACAGGTTTAGCAATCCGCGGAGTCATGAATTACACAGCTCCACAAAAATCAATCGCCGGCACCCGAGAACAGAGTAGGTGGACTACATGTTTTTGGGGTCGCTGATCACGAATCTGCACTCAGAATTTTCCGGTTGCATCAAATTTTTTAGTTAATTGCAAGAAAAGGTCAAAATATCGATATTTTGCACCTATTTCAGACCCTACATTAAGAAAAAGATAAATACCTATGCAAAAAGGATTACTATTTTGTATCCTAACTTTCATACTCACAGACCCTTAACCTATGATCCCAAAACCATCGATTTCTAACCTCCAAACCCCAAAAACCCTGCTTAATACCAGTAGAACCGAGTAAATCTTTAACCAAACCGCAACCCTCAAACCTACCAGACCCTGCTCACCAAGGCTTCAATGGAGTGGACCTTCAATCAAACAGCAAGCCTCAAACCCACCAAACCCAGCCCACCAAGAGTTCAATATAGTAGACCTTCAGTCAAACAGCAAGCCTCAAACCCACCAGACCTTGCTCACCAAGAGTCCAATCTTCAACCAAAAAGCAAACCTCTATACTTTAAATCTTCAAACCTTAACTACATTAACTTTTTTATTTTCGTCTTGATCACAACAGATGTTAAGTAACTTAAACACTTTTTACCCATTGCTATTGTATTTCTTTAGTTCTGTTAAACAGAAATAGCAATCTTCATCGTGATTTTCAGGTTTGTTCCAAATCACGGGAGTAGAACATCGTTGTCGTTTACCTTTGTGAAGAGAAGCAGCACAAGAAGAGCATACTTTATTTGGTGTCCAGGCATTGTCTGTGTTTTCAGCAGATATGCCATAATAAGAATGATACTTTCTTTTCAAGTTATCACTTAGAGCTTTACCATTTTTAAAAATGAAAGTCCCACAAACAAAACAATATGAATTAGGGTCTTTTTTACAACTAGACATTTTTTAAATTTACGCTAAAATACTCAAAGCAATTTTCTGTTATGAGAATACAAAGTAGAGAAACGAATTTTGTATTTGATTAACATCTAATAGAAATAATATATGTATAAGCATAAAATTGTAGAAATAAAATTTAGTACGCAAATTTACATTTTATGACGATTGGGTATAGTTTTATTATACTTTTGTTATATTAGGTTTATAAATTGTAAATTAAGTATCTCGATTCTTATATTTTAAATATATATTTTAAATTATAAAGTAAACTGCCTGAGTCAAATCGTTATAAAAATGGGTTTATGAGCTGGGTTTGGTGGGTTTGAGGTTTGCTGTTTGACTGAAGGTGCACTCCATCGAACTCTTAGTAAGCAAAGTCTGTTGAGTTTGAGGCTTGCTGTTTGCCTAGGGTCTGCTATATTGAACTCTTGGTGGGCTGGGTTGGATGGGTTTGAGGCTTGCTGTTTGACTGAAGGTGCACTCCATCGAACTCTTAGTAAGCAAAGTCTGTTGAGTTTGAGGCTTGCTGTTTGCCTAGGGTCTGCTATATTGAACTCTTGGTGGGCTGGGTTGGATGGGTTTGAGGCTTGCTGTTTGACTGAAGGTGCACTCCATCGAACTCTTAGTAAGCAAAGTCTGTTGAGTTTGAGGCTTGCTGTTTGCCTAGGGTCTGCTATATTGAACTCTTGGTGGGCTGGGTTGGATGGGTTTGAGGCTTGCTGTTTGACTGAAGGTCTACTATATTGAACTCTTGGTGAGTTGGGTTCGGTGGGTTTGAGGCTTGCTGATTGAATCAAGGTCTACTATATTGAACTCTTGGTGGGCTGGGTTTGGTGGGTTTGAGGCTTGCTGTTTGACTGAAGGTGCACTCCATCGAACTCTTAGTAAGCAAAGTCTGTTGAGTTTGAGGCTTGCTGTTTGCCTAGGGTCTGCTATATTGAACTCTTGGTGGGCTGGGTTGGATGGGTTTGAGGCTTGCTGTTTGACTGAAGGTCTACTATATTGAACTCTTGGTGAGTTGGGTTCGGTGGGTTTGAGGCTTGCTGATTGAATCAAGGTCTACTATATTGAACTCTTGGTGGGCTGGGTTTGGTGGGTTTGAGGCTTGCTGTTTGA